CCAGGAGGTCACGGTTCAATTCCTGGTCAGGGCATAAACCCGGCTTGCAGGCTTGATCCCCAGTGTGGGGCGTGCAGGACACAGGTGATCAATGATTCTCTCTCATCGTTGATGTTTCTGTCTCTCCCTCTCCCTTCTTCCTTGAAATCAATAAAAATATAATAAAAAAATACACCCCAAAGCCATGTCTGTTTGAGGCATATAGTCCCTGGATTTACTAACCCAACATAATAATACTAAGAGTGACCATTTACTGGGTGCCTTCCATGTACTATCTCACTTAATTCCATGATATCTCTTCAGACATGCATTTTATAGATACACAGGTTTAAGGTACTCACCTAGGGTTGTGCATTTAATAACTGGCGGTGCTAGGATGCTAATGCAGGTTAACCCCTACCTCTAGATCCCATGCTCTAGACCAGTGATGGTGAACCTATGACACATGTGTCAGAGGTGACACGCGAACTCATTTTTTTGGTTGATTTTTCTTTGTTAAATGGCATTTAAATATATAAAATAAATATCAAAAATATAAGTCTTTGTTTTACTATGGTTGCAAATATCAAAAAATTTCTATATGTGACACGGCACCAGAGTTAAGTTAGGGTTTTTCAAAATGCTGACACGCCGAGCTCAAAAGGTTCGCCATCACTGCTCTAGACTAGGGTTGCTCAGCACTATTGACATGGGGATTGGATAATTCTTTGTTGTGAAGGTTTGTCCTGTACATTAGAAGATGCTTAGCAGCTCTTCTGGCCTCTACCCATTAGATGTCAGTTATGACAATCAAAAATGTCTCAGACATTGCCAAATGTCCTCTGGCGATGGGGGGAGGGGGGTCAAAATCACTCCTCTTCTACTTTAAGAACAACTGTTATAGTCTAACCCACCATGCTGTATTGTTTCCTGGTACTTTATAAGTACAACAACAATATCACCCTATCCTATAGGTATATATCATTTTACAAATCACCAAGTACTTTTATAGCCAATATCTCCTTATGCGGCTAGGGCTTAATCCTGAAAGAATTAATACCCCTAAAAATTATGACCACTAAAAAGAGATCTATATATTTAGCCTTCTCCAAGAAATTGAGAGAAAAGAACATGAGTGAAGTCCATTTAATCTTTGGCCCACAAGCCATTGGGAGAAAAACACTTTTGCTAATGCATGTAATCCTTCGAGAGCACATTATGTTACTTTCTGGAGGACAAAGTCTGTTTCTTGTACATCTCTCTATCTTCTGCACAGAGAACACAGAGAATTCTCACTTAATGTCGAACATTTCATGGAACATCTACCTCATAGCAACCCTTAACCACTTCATTAAATTAAAATTATATTCCCACAGTTTGTATCTTCCATGTTATGTTTTAATAAAATTCATATTCTAAAAAAAATTAATGGCAACATTCACAGAAGAGCTCAGAGTTCAGTGCCAGGTTGTCATTGAAAAAACAGAGCAAAACTCAAGTTTAACTGGAACAAATGTTCACCAGAATCATCTCTGTCAATACAGGCCAAGGGAACTGTAGCTGTTTCATTCGAGTAATATTTTATTGGATCAAGGAAAAGAAATTCCAGGAGAAGCTTTTCCACATTTTTTTTCCTTCAGATCTTCACTAAACTATTATACCTAACAAAACAGAAATGCTTGTTTTAAAAAAACCCCAATCTGAATAAAAAATAAAGTAGCTAACTACAGTTGCTTTTAAGGTCACTCTTTAAGAACTCCTAAGAGGCCAGGAGAGTAAAAACAAAATGTTCTCATTCACATATCCATTTGCAAAGCCCAGCTGAAGAGGACAGCATTACCCGGAAAATGATAAATCCATACATGGCTTCAAAGAAATTGTAATATAACTATCAATAGTCAATATTCATGACAAAAATAGCCGGACTCTATGGAGCACTTTTGTGCCAGGCACTGAACTCGTGTTCTACATGCATAAATCTTACTAAATCTTCATTCCAGCCCCATGTGGTATATACTCATTAGCATCTTCTTTTTAAGGTAAGAAAACTGAGGCCAAAAGACATGTACTAACTTGCCCACAATCACAGCCAGATCAAGAGTCAAGTGATGGCTGTATAAAGCTTTAGGTTATAGAATCTGAAAAAACAACCACTGGGAAATTAGAAAAACAATGGAAGAAAAGGGAGATGTTATGGCAGTTTTTCACAGTGTGTGCCATAGAATCCCACGACTGAAATTTCGGCATTTCAGAAACCATTCTCTTCCCCTTGCTTCTATATAGATCCTTGCACATAAAATCTCAAGTACTGGGCATTAACTGCACACCTGGGGTTAAGTACCTTTCTGGGTACTTTTTTTGGTGAGAAAAACATATCTTTTGTTTTGCTTTCTGTAAAAATGCACAGTGATGAAAAGGGCCTGGTGAAGAGTCCCCACACGGGAAAAGAAAGACTTATCCTCTCCCGCTTACCAGGCCGTAAAGCACACCAACAAAGCCATAGGACCAATGTTTGCACACACATTCCCGAACATATACACCCAAAGAGGGTTGCACTTCCATTACTCTCAATCCTAGACACATACACACGCCTTTACTGGATGCCCATCTTGGGGACCACCAGTCCCCCAAGGGGACTCTTGTTACTTTCATGGCCACACTTTCTATGACAACCTCGACTCCCCACCTCAGAGGCCACAGTTGGCCCCACATGGTGTCTGGCTCTTTCCCAAGTGAGGAAGGTTTGGCATCAGGAGGCAATTCAGTTAAATGTGTTGCCAACTCTGCAGGCGGTGCCAAAGCACGAGCTCCCAGATTATTCTCAGCAATGACAGCATCCCGGGGATTAGTGCGCAGCTTGCCAAGACAGGGCTTGTGAAGGGGAGGGATACTCACTTGAATGTATAAGTGCTGGCATATTTCTTTTAATATTTGGGTAAAGAAATGGAAGAATCAGCTAGCTTTAAGTCCAAGTGAATAAGTATTCCGCTGCAATCATGATAATGCAGATTTGGGGTAAGGTTCTGACCACCCCCTTAACCCTTTGAGCGCCAACCAATATCCTAGGAACTACGCTAAAATTGCCAAGGCATTTTTGCTGACTTTACAGCAGTTTAGGAAAAACTGCCTGCCCCTAAAACAAGCGCTCCTGGCACTTTTGGTGAAAGACAGGAGGAGCGCGATCGCGCTCCCCGGCACTCTAGGAGTTAATGAAAAAAAAAGCTTGTCCTGAAATGCTACTTGTAAAAAGCAGAAATCACTTTCCCGTCAACTTGCATAATTATTGAAGAGATTTCCTTTTCATGAAAAAAAAAAAAAACCACTAAAAACTGGGCCCAACAAATGCTAGTTGCCAACATAGTGCTGGATCCTCCCAGGAAGCTCCAATCTCAGTGTGTGCTAGAAGATGGATCTATATCCAGGACAGAAGGAGTGGGGGGCATCTCTCTTCCCCTGGATCCCCAAAGCCTAGAAACCTTCCAATAGAAAAATCCACATAATAGAACCCCAGGACCTGAATTAGCTGTTACAGCAAATAAAGTAATTATCATACAGAAAGGGAGCTGGCACCGAAGACAAACAACAGAGAACAAACAGACACTGCACTGGTCGTTTGTTTATCTTCAGACACACTTGGACAGCCATCCGCTGAGGTCCTAAGCAGCCTGGCTTCCTGCCAGGTGACCTGGACACCTTAGGGGTGGGCACAGCCTGTGGACATCTGAAGAGGGCAAAGGCAGTCCACCTTCCGAGTAGATAACATCCTATTCACTTCAGTAAGGGAGCCCTAATGAGCACAAACGATCCAAAAACTGTACAATACTCCCGGTGTTTACTTGGCTGAAGAATGCAGCGCATTTGTGGGCGGTGTGTGTGTGTGTGTGTGTGCGCGCACATTGCTGATTTTTTTACTCAGAAATAGCCTCTCACAGAGAACAGGAGAGTGGGGAGCAAATAGCTCATGTGGATCCAAAAAATTACACACCCCTTTGTAGATCTTACCTGTATATTTGAAATCTCACTCCATAAGTATTCTCTTAACTCCTGATCAAAATTACTTCTAACCCAGTTCAGCAATACAGGGTGCAACAAAGAGCCCGTCTGGGTCTCCCCCTTGTCGGTGGGAGGCTGAGGGACCACAGCCGCCTTCAAGTCGCTGGGCCAGGTCTGCGAGGTGCACCTCCCCACCCCGCCTCCCCCACCCAAGTTGCCAAGTCCGGTAGCTAGCTGGGCGCCGAGTCCCCACCAGCGCCGTCTGGGGTGGCCCCGTCTTGCTCTCTCGAGTGAATGCCCTCTTGAGGTGTCAGTGGGCTGTGCCATTGGCCGAGAGGGTCCGAATCTCTGCCCCACCACCCACCCGGCCACCTCGGATCCCCCGTCCGGTTCCATCCTTCCAGGCCCCTGTTCTCCACACCGGACCCAGCCGCCTCCCCCGCCCACCCTCTCAGAGAGGCCCCTTCCATCTTTCCCCGGAGAAGTCACAGCCTCGTCCCACCCTATCCTTTCTGGGGTTCCCCTTCCTCGGGGTCCCCCTCCCGCCTCGGGTTTCCTCTCTTCTGCATTCCCCTCCCGGGTTCTGGTCTCCGCCCAGCGGGGGGCACCCCAAGAATGCCGACAGAGCACCCCCGGTTCCGCCCCCCTCCACTCCCAGTTCCCGCACCGGAGGTCCTCTAGGTCGCGATCCTGACCCCTCAGCTCTCCAGGTTCGGGCTCCGAGACTCCCCACCGTCGCGATCCCGATCCGCCCTCTCGCCCTCGGGGTTGGGGTTCAGAGAGCCCCCAACATAGGGGCACTGACACTCCGTCCCGGGCTCGGGTTCCTCAACATCGCGATCCCGAACGCCCCTCTGGCCTCGGGTTCTGGGGCTCCCCTAAGTCGCGATCCTGACACCTCCGCCCCGGGTGCGGGCGCCCCGGGCTCCCCAAGAACGCAGTCCTCACCCCCGGCCAGACCCGCTCTGCGCCTCCGGTGATGGGGCACAGTCAGGGGCGGCGCTGGGTCGGTGCGCGTCAGGACTCACCGACAGGGCAGCTTTGGGTCGGCTGGGTTCCCGGCTCCAGGCTCCCAGCTTCCCGGAGGCGGCGGTGACCTCGGCCCGCGCTGCACAGGGGAGCGGCCAGGAAAAGGGGACGGCCGGGGGCGGGCACCGCGGGGCTCCGCCTCTACCCGCCGGGGCGGGATTCGCAGACCCGGGCAGCCCCCCCGCCCCCAGCCCTCCGCCCGCGCTGCCTCCCGTGCTGCGGCGGCGGAGGAAGTTGGCTGACGCCTCTTCCTTCTCCCCGGGGCTCAGGTCCACACATCCCCCTTTCAGCTGCTGAAAGCCCCGAGGGGTTGAGAGAGAAAGATGCGTGCATCGCTGTCCAGTTCTTTCCAAGACCCCACCCTGGGGGGCTCTCCCCGGTATTTCAGGAGGGGGACAAACAACAGCAAACTTCACCTTTGATCTCAAGACTGATTGACATCCTCATCTCTCCACGGGTGTCTGCACATGCAGGGTCATTCTGCCTATGAAGTCATGTCATAACACTCCCGGGAGGGCCCTTGCAAACACACACGCTTTCGTGCCCTGAGATAGTGGGTGAAGGACTCGCCCATGACTTACACACAAACATAGCCCTTACACTGCCGTGCTGGGAATCCATTTCTATACCACTTCATTCTCCTTCCTCAGCTCTCGCCGGTCCTTAAATAGCAATGGCCTACACAAGCAGCAGGGAGGCAGAGGAAATTCCACATCTGGTCCCAGACTTGCTCCTGACCCACAGTCTACATTTTACCATGAGAAGAATACACTTAAGCTGTAGGAGCATCGATTAACAAATCAAATTTGTTAAAGAAGCGGTCTTCACTATCTGGAAAAAGAGAAACTGATCAGATCCTGGAAAGATGGCCAACAGCAGTGCTGCCCTAAGAGGATCATTTAATTCATTTCATTACACTTCCGAGACAATCTGGCCTACTTCCTGATCTGTTGATGCCTGGCACTTTCCCATTACACCACCCTGCTTCAGTCACAGGTCTAACAACACCTCACGTGTGTATAGTGTCTTCACATTTCAAAACATTTGAAAAGTCATTATTTCCTTTATCCTCAGCAAAACATCGTGGAGCAAAGGTAGCAGGCTATCCGGTTGGGGTTATTTTACTAGGAAAGAGTCAAGCGCCTGGTCTTCAGGGCCACTGTTCCTCCCATAGAACCACGAGCCCAGCACACAGGTGCTGGTGGAAATGTCCCACGAGGCCTTGCAAGACTTGCCCTCTCCATCCCAAGATGTCAATGAATTCTCCCGTATCCACAAAATCTCGAGCCTCCACTATTATCAAGCATTTATTTTCCAGCCAGAGATCGTAACTGCACAACAGAGCTGATTGAGAGGAAGTGAAAAGTCCCTTTTCTTCCTTTCTCTGCCACCCTCGAAACAAAATTACAGGTCATGAAATATGAGGTTCCAACCACAGGCTCAGTCCAACTGAAGTGAGCTGTTGGGTGTGAGCTGATACAACTGTGAAATACATGTTGATTACTCTTAGGTTTTTTTGTGTGTGTGTGTGTGTGTGTGTGTGTGTGTGTGTTTTTCTCCCAGAGAGTTCCTCTGGCTGAAGTGTGGAGGGGGTTCTCTGGTTTTAAAAGAAGATTAACAAGTCTTATAATGCTTTTTCAATGTCACAGGAAGAAAATGGTAAATGTTCCTTTCCACCGAATCTTCCTCTAGGGCAGTGATGGCGAACCTTTTGAGCTCGGCGTGTCAGCATTTTGAAAAACCCTAACTTAACTCTGGTGCTGTGTCACATATAGAAATTTTTTGATATTTGCAACCATAGTAAAACAAAGACTTATATTTTTGATATTTATTTTATATATTTAAATGCCATTTAACAAAGAAAAATCAACCAAAAAAAATGAGTTCGCGTGTCATGTCATAGGTTCGCCATCACTGCTCTAGGGGGCAGGTATGAAAGTGTAATGGGCATTAGGCATTTTTACCTGTGGGGGAGGGGTGCTGGCCAGAGCCACCTAGATAAGAGCGGCAGTTTCTCATCCTTCATGCTTTTTTGTTGTGTGTGTGTGTGTTTTTTAAAGTGTGGTAAAATACATATAACATAAATTTTACCATCTTAACTTTAAAAAATATTTTTAATTGTGGTAAATAGGCAGAATATAAAACTTACCTCTTTAACCATTTTTTAATGTACAGTTCAGTAGTGTTAAGTACATTCACATCCCTCATGCCTTTTAAAACTACTGGGATCTCACAGCATGGAGGGACCTGGAGAGTACCATGCTAAGTGAAATAAGTCAGTCAGAGAAAAACAAATATCACATCTCCCTCATATGTGGAATCTAATTAACAAAATAAACTAATAAACGGATCCAGGAACATGGAAGCATGGAACAGAGTGTGGAATTTCGGAGGGAAGGGGAGGAAGGTAATCAACCAAAGACCTTGTATGCATAGATGCATAACCCATGGACACAGACAATAGGGTGGTGAAGGCCTGGGGCTGGGGGCGGGTCAATGGGGGAAGAAGGGGGACATTTGTAATACTTTCAACAATGAAGATTGAAAAAAACACTACTTGGATCTCACACTAACTTCTTCCATATTCTACTCTGAAGTGATGGCCCAGTTTGGGCAGTACAAATGATATTTTGGTGACTCTGGAAACAAGAATCCTAAAGTGACCATACTATTTTTGAATCATAATAAAAAGCTCTTGGATCTTTCATAGAGGACAGTCAGGAGTGCCTTTAGTATATGGAAATTCACAGTCAACTTCCCGCCATGAAACACTCATCTGGCAACACAATTTTGACCTGTGGTTCTTCCAAAAGCTGGAAACAGGCAAGATCTTGGATATTGCAATATTCCCTCTAAGAGGAGAATGCTAAACTGCTAATCCAACCAACATTCTAGTAGACGTGTTTTTCTTTCAGAATGCCCTTGAAAGCCACAGACACAGGGCAATATACAACATTATTAAAAAATAGACACGTAAGATTAAGGAGCTATTTTTGTCTCAAACTCTAACAAAATAATCTGATCCATTTTATGTTGTATACATACCACATTGTCACTGTTTTCTATCATTTCTGCTGCATGGTTTTTTTATCCTCATTTGAGGATATGGTTATTGATTTTAAGGAAAGAGAGAAAGAGAGAGAGAGAGAGAGAGAGAGAGAGAGAGAGAGAGAGAGAGAGAGAAACATCACTCAGTTGCCTCCTGTATGGGCCCTCACTGGGGATTGAACCCACAACTTTTTGGTGTATGGGACAACGCTCCAACTAACTGAGCCACCCAGTCAGGGCTCTGCTGAGTGTCTAAATAGCATCCTTTTTTCAAGGAGCTCAAAGTACATGTGATGATAGCATATCACTAAACTTCATACATTTTAGGTGAAGAAGGAATAGGATAGGAACTATTCTGTAGTAATAGACTGTAACATGGAGAAATGGCAGTGTGAGGTAGTAAAAACATTTTCCTGAAACATCTTGGTATACAGGTTTATACTGGTCTATCCTAAAAGAAGACCTACTCGTGAAAACTCATGCAAGAAACTATTGTTTAAAAGCCCTGCCTATTTGTTTTCTTTCTACATCTTATGGAAAGACTGAGGGCCATCCTTCACCATCTTGGAGAGGACTTAGCTCTGTGAACTTGGAATTCCGATCATCCTGAGTCTGAATCCTAGTACCACCACTGGGAGCTTTGGTAACTCACTTACCTATCTGTGCTTCAGGCTCCTTATCTGTAAAATGGAAATAATAATCATACCCGCTGCATACAGTTATTTCTAGGATTAAATAAAATAATACACATTAAGCACTCAGCACTGCACCTATCACATAATGAGGGCTTGATAAACATGGGTGAAAAGGTACTGGCTTCGAGTAAGTGGTAGTTTATAGGAGCCTTGCTCCAATGTTTCCTACTGGAAGAAAAGATGTACTATCCCTGCAGACTTCCTGGGGGCAATTCGGAGAATCTTGAAGATTTGTTTTTCTAACTCTTAAGCCAAATCTCTCCATTCCTTAATGTTTCATAACAAGATAGCCATCAATACTTAGCTTTCTATTTAGACCCTCTGCCAGCTGGTCAATTTGAAAAGCAACCATGACACTAATTTCATCCACAGGAAGCTAATGAGCTGTGGTTGAATCGGGTTAAAAATAAAAATCAGAAGAATGGTCTTCCTGTGCTGTACGTCCATGTGATCTCATTTAATGGTGAAATGGTAAGGGTTCATTCATTAAAAGCTAATTCCATCTGGAGTGATTCATTCCTTTTTAATTTTTTCCATTTTATTTCTTAAAAATAATAATTAATTGACAATTCAGGGAACAAACCACTTAACACATGTAGACAAGAGAGATGAAATGCAGAAATTGTTCCTGGGCCTTCAGCAAACCTGGGCACCTGTGAGGCTGCCCCGCCTTGCACCTGCTCTCCCGCTCTCTGAGGATATGTTTATTGATTTTAGGGAGAGAGAGAGAGAAGCATCAATGTGAAGGAGACACATCAATTGGTTGTCACCCACGCATGCCTTGACCAAGGCCAAGGATTGAACCTGCAACCCAGGTATGTGCCTTTGACTGGGAATTGAACCTGAGGCCCTTCGGTGCATGGGCCGACGCTCTAACCACTGAGAACACCAGTCAGGGCTGAGTCTTTTGTTTCTTACCAATAACCTGCTTAAAATAATATCCCAAAAGGACATATTTTGGGGTGGCAAACTCTATTCTCCCTCAGTGGAAAACTGAGGCTTGAATGTCGGGACTTTGCCACAACCCTGCTGGTGTGTTGCTAAGGGAAGTACACAATCCCTTACAGCTCCTCATTCCAATCTACCATCTATCATCTACATTAGGCTAAGGAGTACATGCACAGTCCTCCTCTGTTGAACAGCTTGGGTCAGAATCCCCAGTAGTGGCCGAGTGTTCTGTCTGTGGCTTTTTAGTTGGTGTCTGTCTGGAGGAGACTTATCTTGGTTCTCAGGTCCTTTAACTAGGATGCAAATATGAAAATGGCAATCTTGGACAACATGATAACAACTGCATTATTCATGCTTGAT